TGACCGTCTTCTACATATACCAGACTACCCCCCCAATGTAGTAGTCTCCTGATAATTCATGAAGGTTCGAGAAGGACGTGGTGTGATACTGGTCACGTGACCTCGCTGACGCAACAATATATTAAACTCAATTGTGATTGAATACTTATATATACATATATATATATATTGCTATATGTTAATTCTTGACTGTGCTATTATATAGAGATGATGCAAATGCCATCCCCACTATCTTGTTTACATTGGTTTTGAATGATTGATATTAGCCATCCTTAGATTTACTTCCTTTTTTGAAAAGTTTTTCTTTACTTGTTTGCTTGTTTGTTTGATGCAGTGTTTCAATAGACATAGAAAGGTTGTATTTATAACCAAGTTCTAAATACAGTAAGGTTTCAACTAATATTTATTGTTTGTGTTATTGGCCGGTAATTTCTTAAGCTTTTTTAAAGGAACACCAAATATGTGTAAGAAAGCTAACTTCAAGGGTTAATGATAACATAGTTTACACTAAAATTATGATCACTTTTTAGTTACTACTAGTTATTAATAATACTAATAAAGAAAAAAGCATATACTCCATTTGAAACTATGTCATCTCAGTGAAATTGGTTGACACCATTGTTTTGGTTTCTGAGTTATCACATAATAAAATAAAAAAGCATCAGGAAAAAGAAAAAGAAATTTAATTTTTTTACTATGATATTTACAGACATTACAAGAACTTGTAACTCAGTCATTACATAGATATTGTTATAAACTGAAACACTGTGTAGTAATTGTGAAGTTTTGATGACCTATTGCGGAGATATTTAAAATACCATTTTGATGAACAATCTAGGCCACTCTGCTACTGCCTGACAATGATATTAAAATTAGCATAACATAATGTTTAGGGACCTATTGGTTCATCTAGGCTGGTCCGTCCTCTAAAATAAAGTAAAACTATTAAATAAAAATAACACACTCGAAGCCAGCCCTTATCATTCATATGGTTATCAAGCTTTCTCATAAACTAACTTAAATTTACTGTTACCACAACATCTGAAGGCAGCCCATTCCAAAGGCCAACCACCCTGTTAGAAAAATAAAATTGTCTTAACTGAAAATTACTCCTACACTGCCAAAATGTACATTTATGTCCCCTAGTCCTACTATTCTCACCATTAAGTATGAAGAAAAAGATGATGATGCATTAACACTATCAGTTCCCTTAACAATCTTAAACACCTCAATCAGATTTCCTCTAACTCGTCAGAGATCTTAATCTCCTTGTATGACAACCCCTCCATCCCAGGCACCATTCTAGTAGCCCTCCTCAGAACCCTTTCCAAAAGTTCAATGTCTTTCCTAAGGTAATGAGACCAAGCCTGAACATAATACTCCAAATGTGATTTAACCAGTGACCTGTACAATGAAGTTATAACCCTTTAGACCTGTATTCAATATGTCTGTAGATACAACTTAAAGTTGCCCCCCAGTGGCACAGCTGTATGTCTATGGATTTAAAACACTAGAAACCGGTTTTCGATACCCGTGGTGGGCAGAGCACAGATAGCCGTTGTGTAGTTTGTGCATAATTAAAAATAAACAAACAACTTAAAGTCCTCCTTGTCCTACCACTATCAATAGCACACTTCTTGGATAGCTTAAGAGACCACAACACCAAGATCCCTTTCTATTGTGACACTGTTAAGGTTATTCCCATCCAAATTATACTTATAATTCAAATTATAATAACTTACATGCATTATCTTACACTTATTATAATTAAAACCCACGTGCATTATGTTACACTTATTATAATTAAAA